CATTTCTCAGAAAGTTAGTTTGATTTATAATTAGAAAAATATCCCAGTGGCAAAGAAAGCCGATATTAGACATAGTAACATTTAAGTTCTAAAATCATAGAATTAAATCAGGTTCTTTTATAAGAACAGTCCTATTTTCTCTTGTTGCTGTTGCAGTATTGCTTATTAAATAAATTAAAAAAGAAGCCAACTCAGTCTGTTGCTTTTTGTTCTCAGAACTCAAAGTCTGCTTATGAATAATGGCATCCAATAAATATGTAATTGATCTGAGTGCCTTTCACTCTCTAAAATGAGTCTCTTAAATATAAACCAAAACTTCATGCAAATGCTTTGAAAAGAATTTTATCTTTTTCTTTAGACTTGAGGAATTTTCTTTCTTTATTACTATATTTTTTTGGATTGGCAAAGTATTTATTTTATTTTATTTTTTAAGAAAATTTGAACTTCAGCAGAGCTTAGGTCTGAATTAGCAGTAGACTTAAATTTATGGATTCCAAATTAATGGTGTTTCACTATAATTCAAAGAAAAATGTATGCGAGATTAGCTTTCAGGCATGGTTGGATGTAGCACGGCTTAGCTAACCTGAGTGTCTTGTGTTTTGCTTTACAGGTAATGCTAAAGTCTGGCCCAAACATACTGTACTGGAGAACTACAGGCATCCTTATGGGTTCTAAGGCAGTCAAGCCAGTTTTGGTAAAAAATATCACAATTGAAGGTATTTTGCAGCAATCTGTTTTAGTAGTCACCTATCACATTTTATATTGAGTTAAATATTGATTGAATTGTCAGTTTGATTGGCCCAAAAGTTTATGGGACAGGAATTAATATGTTAAGTATCATACAGGTGTAGAGGTGCTGGTTTTATTCCTGGAAAGTTGACTGATTTTTTGTTTTTGTTTTGTTTTTTGTTCCTTAAACTGAATTATTTAATCTGTGTGAAAAAGTACACATGATGACAATTTTAGGTGTTTTTAAATAAAAGAAAAATGTCTTTGTTAATAAGAGCCTATTATTCATTTGAGTAATGTCTATAGTGCCAGTCATTGAGCTTACTCAGGTCACTGTTGCATCCAAAAAAATAACAATAAAATAAACATCTTGGCTTGATTATGTCCCAAATCTTCTCTTGTGCTGCTTCTTTATATATATATTTCAGAGAGGAAGGGAGAGGGAGAGAAAGATAGAAACATCAATGATGAGAGAGAATCATTGATTCAGCTGCCTCCTGCATGCCCCCCCCCCCACCCCCTCCCCACAATGGGGATTGAGCCTGCAACCTGGGCATGTGCCCTGACCTGGAATTAAACTGTGACCTCCTAGTTTATAGATCAGTGCTCATTGTGGCCTGGTTCTTGTGCTTCTTTTGAATCAGCTGGGCCTTTGTGGCCCAGGAAAGTGGCCAGTAAACCCTGAAATTATTCAGTCTCAGGGCTACTTATAATTAAAGCAGTGATTCTCCTTGATGAAAGTTTGGCTTGTGTTTTAATATTTTTAAAGTGTACTTGTTCCTGTGATGCTAACTCATTAGTTCTAGGGACATCTGCTGGCAAAGGCTGAAATTACAAACCAGAAGAAAAGTCAAGCCCTTCCTAGGGTCTGTTAAGTCTTGCCAGTGACTTAGTGAGCAGCATAGAAAGGGAACCAACAGGTAGCCACAGAGATCAGAGAATGGTAGCTTGTAGACTTGGAAGGGGCCTTAGAGTTTATCCCACTCTGGGTTCGTGGAGTTGTCTTTTGACAACTGAGTTTATACATTTACTATACCTCTAACAAATGCCAATCTCTTGCTTCAGTGTTTGCTCTACTTACTGTGTTTTATTCAATATTTATCCCAGTTACCTGCATGTAGCAAACACTTCTTGGGGTTGAATGAATGAGAGAAAGGATTTGGGCTGAGCTCCGTGTCAATAATGCTCTCTCATTTCTGGTAGAAGCTGAAAGAAGGTGCTGATTTGCTCACTTCTGTTGGTCCCTCCATGCTCTGTGTGTATATCCCACAGAGTGCATACACATCAGATGCTTTCCATGCAAGCCGGGCACCTTCAGCAATAAACCAGGTTCGTTCAACTGCCAAGTGTGTCCCAGAAACACCTATTCTGAGAAAGGAGCCAAAGAATGCATAAAGTGTGCAGAGGACTCCCAGTTTTCAGGTGGGTCTAATCTTTGCCAATTTATACTCTATGTTCTTTTCTTTTTAAATGTACATTTGTTGAGTGTATAGTCCTAAGCCAGATGTCACATATAAGTGGGACAGGAACAATGGGCTAGACACCAAAGTGCTGAAGTGAATCAATATTGAGTGGATAAAATTAGTTTTATCCCTTTCTTCATGACTTTTCCTTTTGTCTGTAATTTTTTACTATTTCATACTTCACAGGTAACTGCTTGGGATGTGTTTATACTAATCTGAATTCATGCTGTACTTTTAGATGATTTGTGGACATAGAGATATATTTAGAAACTTTTCATTTGTTCCAAATTTACAATTTTAATGATAATAGAATAAGTCTAACGTCTTCTTGGAAAAACTGTGATATGTCCCAGGTGTATCATGGAAACACTTATTGCTCTAGTGAAAATAAAAATGTAAGCCCTTATCTTCTTTAGGCCTAGCTAGTTGTACCTATTTTCCTCTGGTGAGGTTGTTTTTACTTTTTAGTTTTTTCTCTTTCATTTGATTGTTTATTTTGTTTTTTGCCCTTTCTTAGAGTCACAAAGGACTCATTTCTGAAATGCATTTGTTGTTGTTGTTGTTGCAGAAGAAGGATCTGGCGAGTGTATGGAGCGCCCTCCCTGTACCACAAAAGACTATTTTCAGATCCACACTCCATGTGATGAAGATGGAAAGGTATTGGCAGTGTTCAGTGCACTCCATTTCATGTTTATTCAGCCATCTTCCCAATTTTAGCAGACTTTTTTTTTGTTGATGAGAGAGTTGAATGAGCTGATTTATAACACATGTATCTAAAGTAGTTCAGAGGAAATTTAATAATTTATCTTCTGAAGCCTGCCTTCTTGGCTTTGATTTTCCAATCTACTAATTAGTGCTGTGGGCAAGTTATTGGCTGTGCCTAAGTTTCAGTGTTTTCATCAGTAAAATAGGGATAATCTCTGTACCTATTTCCTGAGGCTGCTATGAGAATATGAGCTATTCAATGGAAGGTTCCTAGCACAGTGCCTGGCACATACTGAGTGCCCAATAAATCCCTGCTATTTTTTAACAGTCATATGTTTTAAAAAGTAATACTTTCAGGAGTAGCACAGCCTTAAAATGTGTCCTGTGACTCACAGGATGGAAATCCAGTAAGTCCTCACTTTAACATTATTGATAGGTTTTGAGACTTGAAGTGAACCAATTTTACTCTAGGCTAATTGATATAAACAAGAGTCAACAATGTTATAATGAAACCACAAAGGATATTGAATGAAACTACTTTACTTGGGGACCTGTTGTATCCTGTAACTTCTCTTTAATTATTTGGTTTCTCAGTAGGTTTTGTCAATAAAAAAGCCGTGCAGCCATTGGCTAATTTAGTCATGGCAGATTGCTGTGTAATTGCATTTAGAAAACGCAAAGTAATTACCATATAAACAACACCGAGCCAGAGGAAAAATACACACATGAACTCGGCAGCTGACCTGCCGTTCTCTTAATTAAAAAGTGTCAGCCTACACTAGCCTATTCAGTAGGAGAAGTTGAGATTAAAGTGGGTATGATGCAACATGCTTTCTGTATGTTTGCATCTTCAAAATCATGACAGTTAATATCTTGACCTAATTTGGAAAATCCACATAGATGCCAGTATTGCTTTATTTTCTTAATCTGAGGTCCTAATCTATAATTTTATACGTATATGGTTATTGTACTTACCCTTAGGTCTTAAGTTCTTTTTAAGTAGTTTACTTTTACTGCTTAAGATTAGACCACATTCCTGGTCTTGATGGACCATAAAGGGTTTGCCAGTGTTTTGGTATCAGATTATCTAGCACTTTTCCTTACCTTTAACAAACTTCAATGTTATAAAGTATTCCAAATGCTTAAGGTCTGTAACAGTACTTATGAATTATATAGCAGGAGTAAGATATAGGAGACATTAAAATTAGCGTGTAAAGGATATGGCTTTAGATCTGCCTTTCTTCCTATATGATCTAAACAAGTCAAACACATTCCTTTCTTAGGATGATGGGAAAACAACATGACCTTTCTCAGTGATTAGGGATTTCTGCATTTGTTTAAAATAAAAACGTTATTATAATCGTCTTTAAAATCTTTAAAAAACAGTTTTATTGAGATGTAATTCTCACATCATATAATATATCCTTGAAGTGTCAATTCATTGTTTTTAGTATATTCACCCCAATCTAATTGTAGAAAATTTTCTTGCCTACAACCTTGGCTAGAATTTTCAGTACAATGTCAAACCCCATGGTGTCATAACATAAAGGAAGAAGAGGACCGAGTAGGTAACCACAAGGGGAAAGAGATAACAGCAAAGGCTTCATAGATAAGGAACCCAAGTGACTGCCGGTATGTAGATGGGTGCATTGAGGAAGTGCTCAGAGCCCATGTGGATGTTGAGCATGGCTTTGAAGGCAGGAGCAGGCAAAGCAAGGCAGAATGGTGCGGGTGACTGCAAGAGAGACCAATGATGAGTGCCCAGTGGGTTACAACCAGAAAGGATCAAGGTTTGGGAGAGGCAGACAGGCAAGCAGTAGCCTAGTTGGGAACATCTGAGCTGTAACATGATGAAGCCCAAGGCTGTCAGGTTGGAGTGGTCCTTGGTAGATTCTTTAAAAGCACATGTAATTAATCTCTGATGAATTCAGCCAGTCTACAAAGCCTTGGTGCATTTGTGCAGGGACGTTTGAAGGAGGAAAGTCATGGACAAATTCGGTCTCAAAATTCATCTAAAGTTTAGTCCTCCCCGTCTTGAGTTTTATTTCAATGTAAGAACCAGCTTCCAATTGATACCTCCATGTGTATTGTGTGTATCAATAAACTGTGTTTTATTCATACTTAATAGAAATACACTTGGAAACTATAGTTCTTCTGTAATCTTAATAGCAATCTGGTAAGTTTTGCTCTATTAAGGTTTTGGTTTCATAAAACATTTCATAATTTTATCTCAAGTTGCCAAAGAATGAATTGATTGTTGGTTTTTCACCTTCACTGTGAGCCATCTGGTGCTACAAATCATTAATATTGCTTATTAGCTTTTCCCGTCAGCCAGACTTGAAAGCATCTGTCCCCGTTAGAAAGAGAGGAACAGAATCAGTCTGCCATGTGAAGCAAGGCGTTGCGAACAAAACTTTTACTGCAGAGAATTTAAAATCTGACTTCTAAATGTTTGCATGTTTGAAGGTGGTGCACATTTTCTGATTTTTAAGCATCAATTGTGCTTGGATTGCAAAGCATGTGGTTAGCTAACCTCTTGAAAATATATTTGCATATTTTATTATGTTTACGCTTTCCAAATGCATTCTCCTTGACTCATGTTACTTTACCATTTACTAGCTACGTATAACTGTGGAGC